GGCAAATGCTAGACGTCTTGCACGGTCTTGGACTAAGTACAACCCCTACCTGTGGACGTCTGGCCCTCATACCACCCTCATGGAGTCTGTTTCTGACCGGTTGAGCAGACACATGCACATTTGTGGCCCGCTGAACATCATTTGGCAGGGCTCTGGCAATGCTCCTCCTGGTCCTCCTTGCACAAATGCAGAGGTCACGTTCCTGCTGCTAGCTTGTTGCTCTCCTTTAGCCTTCTCTACATCTCTTGATGTACTGGCCTGTCTCCTGGTAGCACCTCCATGTTTTCAACACTACACTGACTGAACCTTCTTGCCACTGCTCACATTGATGTGCCACCCTGGATAAGCTGCACAACCTGAGCCACTTGTGTGGGTTGTAAATTGTCTCATGCTACCACTTGTGTCAAAGCACGAACAGCATTCAAATACAAAACAAAAGTGACCAGAAGATCCGCTAGAAACAATAGGATCTGAGGAGTGGTCTGTGGTCATCACCTGCAGAGCCACCCCTTTTTTGGGGATTTCTTGCCTATTTACACCTGTTCTCTATTCCATTTGCACAACGGCAGGCAAAATTGATTGTCGATCAGTGTTACTTCCAAAGTGAACAGTTCAATTTCACAGAAGTTTGACTGACTTGGAGTTACAACTATTTATTTTAGCAGTGTATATTTGCTACATTGGAAAAACAATATTATACCAGCAAAGCGTAACTGGTAACTGGCATCACAGTGAAACCTAATTATCACAAAAGTCTTGTATATATATATATATATATATATATATGTATGTATGTGTGTGTGTGTGTGTGTGTGTGTGTGTACATATATATGTGTATACATATATATATATGGTCACAGAAATAACTTGAATAATGTATCCAGTGATTGTCAGACAATGCTTTTCAACCATGCTTCAACAAAATTGGGCCCCAGGCCTTTTGCTGCTACACCTGTTTGTCCCCCAATTAGGGGATGCTCAGGCTTGAAGGGTTAAAAAAATAAACTCATTGAACAGGCCTGGACAAAAATAATGGTACCCCAACTTAATATTTGTTTCACAGCCTTTTGAGGCAATCACTGCAATTAAACGATTCATGTAACTGTCAATGAGACTTCTGCACCTTTCAGCAGGTATTTTGGCCCACTCCTCATGAGCAAACTGCTCCAATTTTTTCCATTTTTTTGAAAGTTTTTTTTATGCAATCATTTTTTTTGTGAAGTGCCTTGTGATTTTTATCTTGAGAGGTTCAACATAAAATATTGTTTTCTTTCGTTTCAATTGTCTGAGGTTGGACGGGCGCCTTTTCCAGATGGCATGTTTCAGCTCCTTCTAAACAAGCTCAATTCGATTGAGGTCAGGGCTCATAGAAGGCCACTTTAGAATAGTCCAATGTTTTCCTACATAGTGTAACGTTATGAACTTCATAATTTTCAGCTCCACACAGCTGCCCCTGTACACATGTACACCCGTGTACAAAACGCCAAGGTCGGGTGTTCCTCAGACTGTTTACATTCCAGGAGGAGAGCCAGAAGGAGAAGAAGAACGCTTTTCAATAATCAAAGTACTTAATTTGTGATTAAAGCTAATCGAAACAGATGTTGATCAATAATAATCAAGTGAATGATCTGTGGAATAAAGATGTCATGATTTATGTGTTTAATGAAAACAGGACTACTGCACAGACAGACTGACCCTCATCTCCATAGAAACGCATGACACATTGTTCCAACCAATCAGAGCTTTCGGCTGCCGCAAGAGAATCTGGCTTGTTGACTTAAAGTGTCCAATCCGCTTTACTAAAACTTATCAACAATTCAGAGATATAAAACAAGGCAACGCCATTTTAAGCTCAGTTCCATTTTGACTTCAGTTCTGTTCAGTTGGAAGTCCTACGGGGTTCCACCGTCATCAAAAGAGAAGTACAGCCTGTGCCCCTCTCTCTTTTCTTGTCTCAAAGTCAATACAGAGTGTTTAATTAAACTCCCTGATGATAAAAACAGCCCATCTTCTGATTATAACAAGTGATCTACTTACAGTATATTAAAATACAACTCTAGATCGTTACATCACTCTATTTCTCTACATTAGCCTTCAGTGATTTTAGCTGTGCTTTGGGTCAGAGTCCTGTTGCAAGACCCATGACCTGTGACTGAGAGCAAGCTTTCTGACACTGGCCAGCATGTGTCTCTCTGCAATCCTTTCGGAGTCTTGAGATGTCATTGCACCCTGCACAGATTCAAGACAACCTGTTCCAGATACAGCTAAACAGCCCCAGAACATAACACAGCCTCCTCCATGTTTCACAGTAGGGACAGTGTTCTTTTCTTGATATGCTTCCTTTTCCATCTGTGAACATAGAGCTGATGTGCCTTAGCAAAAATATCCATTCTTGTCTCATGTGTCCATAGGACATGCTCCCAGAAGCTTAGTGGCTTGTCAGTACTTAGTTTGGCATATTCCAGTCTGTTTTTTTTTAAATGATGTTTTGCCTCCTCCTTGGTCGTCTCCCCTGTAGTCCACTTTGGCTCAAACAGCGGATGGTGTGATCTGACACTGATGTTCCTTGAGCTTGAAGTGAACCTTGGATCATTCTTTTATCACCATTTGGATTATCTGTCTCTTTGATTTACCATCAAGTTTTCTTCTCAAGCCACGTCCAGGGAGGTTGGCTACAGTTCCGTAGATCTTAAATTTCTGAATATGTTCAATTGTAGTCACAGGAACATCTAGCTGCTTGGAGATGGTCTTATATTCTTTACCTTTAACATGTTTGTCTATAACTTTCTTTCTAATGTCCTGAGACAACTCTTTCTTTTGCTTACATGGTGTGTACCACACCATGTCACCAAACAACACTGGGACTACCTGGAGCCCATTGACTGATTACAAGATTGTAGACACCTGTGATGCTAATTAGTGGACACACATTTTGAAAAGCCTGGCAGATCTATGTCAAGGACTCACCCATTTTGGCGTGCGACGGAGGCTATTGTTGGTTTAACGCCCAGCAAACAGCAGAAAACATCTCAAATAGCAGACGCTAACAGTTAGCATTAGAAACTCAACCACACAGCAGAAGTTCCTCCGGGCTTGTGTTATTTGTGGAGGTTAAACAAACATTGCAGAGCAAATGCAATCAGTGGTAGAGTCGCGTTACTGTTATCCAGTCCGAGGCGAGACATTCAAATATCACTCCAAATCAAACCAAAGTTGTGCCACTCAGGTGCAGCAGACTTGTCCGTGCTGATCCAGGCGCTTCTGGGCTTTTTTTTGCCCCCAGTATAACTTGCAAGGTATTCATTCCTACTAGAGGCCACTGCAAATGTATTCATCTAACAAAACTGTAATTACTAGAAACTGATGAGATTGTGTATTTTTTACGTATGTGAAGAAAAATAATCAGAATAATTTATTTTTTGATTTTGCCAAGTCTATTTATAGTATGTTTTCATGAAAAGCAGCTAAATGTCATTTGTTTTTAAAAGCAAACATTACAGGAGATGTTTTTTGTCAGGTCCTGTTCGGCCTGCACGGAGCCAGTGATTTTTGTTTATGTTTAACACTGCAAACATCAGCCATGCTCATCCCTAACAGGCTTGTAAAGTGATTTTCTGGTCTGTGGAGCATGAGAAATTACTGCACCCATTTTTTTTTATCTCTGTCGAAGTTGCTTAAACCCTCCAAATCTGAGAAACATTCAACCAGCAAGAACAGATGCTCTAAAAATACATTTAAATTTTTTTTCACACAATTTCACCCTCATGAATGCAGTTTTCAGTTGTTCCTCTTGTCATGTGCAAAGGCACACCTGTGTTTCTGTGTGCATGTGCATACATGCATACCTACTGTAGCTGCAGGACAGTGCATTATCCTTAAAGATAATATACATAATTGAAATTTACACATAAAAGCAAATGATACTAAGCTGCTACATTTAATTTCCCTCTGGGATCAATAAAGTATTTGTTGACCTGAAACAAGTGTAAGAACAACACAAGGCTGGTGATGTGTGTGTGCTTTATTGTTCACAACCTCTCTGCTGACACTGATGATGCAGATAAGGCCTGGTTACAGATTAAGGCAAAAACAAAAATACATGAACAGACAAGAAAACATATTCACATATCAGTGAGCTTGTTTGGTTCTTAACACTCAAAGCCCAATCAGAGATGAATAATCCAACTTCTTGGGAGAGACGGTGGTTTTGTTTGTACAATCATATCATCATAAGCACTAAGAGACAGCTACACATCCACTAGGACTTTATATTCTTGTTTTTTTAGTCAATAACAAGCTTGTTTCGGAGCTTCCGGAGAGCATCTGAGATGTCCAATTAAAACAGACCACTGGTCAGGTTTAAACGGCTCGCTGTGGTGTTTACCTGTAAACAAATGTTTGGTGTTGAGCGTCGGATCCCAGTGAGATCTGCTCAAAGCTTGTCTTTTGAACACGATAACACTTGCATTTTCTGATGGGCAGAAAAAAGGTCCAAATAAAATAAGCCTGCCTTTGTCAATGTGATCCTTTTTAAAAGTTTTATTCCCTTGCAGGTTTTCTTTTGCAGTGATTAACGTTTAGTTTTACTCAGAGATCAAGTTTTACTGTAAAAATTCTTCTAAAAGACTAATTGTTGACTTAATTCTGCGATGTAGTTTTTCTGAATGGAAACTTGCAAATAAACCAAGAATGCCACCAAATATTTTGTTTTAGGGGGAAAAAATGATAAAACTATCATTTGTCAGACATAAAATACATAACTGCCTGAAATGCTTTCATTACTTTTGACACTGCACCTTCTTTTCTCATTTCATATGCTGACATCTTTTCCTCCCAGAGGTTTTGTCTGAGTCTGTCAGACTTGGCCGAGGGCCGCCTCCATCTCAGAATAACTTAATTAAAAACCACAAGCCGTGTTTATTTGCTCTTTGACAACAATGGCAAGCTCTATTTACCAATTTGAGATGATTTTTACCCCCCCCCCCCCCCCCCCCCCCCCCCCAGCACTCCTCTTTTCAACATAGTCTCTGGCTACTCTTGCATAAACCATTAATATGTATGAGCTTCTGTTCTCCACCAACTCAGAGCTCGGCGGTCCTCACCGTGCACTCTGACTAGCAGCTTTTCTCCAAGTGGTTAAAACCATCGTTTGGAAACAGAGTTTTGCATTAAATCACTTCAAAAGACAAAAACTAAACAATAAACATGAAAATCTGGAGCTCATCCAGTTGACTATTGCGACTAAAGACGCATAATCAAGCACCTTACTTTACAGTAATGGCAACGCTTTTTTCAAGTAGAACTGAAATGGGAGTGAAAGTAAAATAAGCCGGTGTGTGGAAAAAAATATCAGGAGGAAAATAAGAGGCGGTTAAATATTTGGGAACAATTGGAAATGTGAGTATTTTAGTTTGTGTACTTTTTCTTTTTAACTGGAATTAGAAAGTTCAGAGTTTTTATCCACAGCAAGTTTCTTTTTCTCCATTCACAAATATATTGATCTCCACTCACAGAAACTTCTGAGCTTTCAGTTTGCAGAAAGGGTAGCACTACAGAAATATTAATATGCTGTGTTTGATCAATTATTCATTGTGTTTAATTTTGGATGTGACCAAAGGAAAGTGTTGACTTTCCAAAGCATGTTTCTGTGTAAACTTTAGGGTTATTAGCATTTCATCTGTTGTGGGTTTAGGGTTAACCCTAGGGTTAGGGTTATGGGATCAGGGTTAGGGTAACCCTAACCCTGATCCCTGCTGCCATCTTAAAGTAGCTCCAATCATCTTTTTTTCTAGCAGCTCATGCAAACATCATCTTATAAACCTTCACACCATCAATTTAACATTACATAGAATCTATGTGGTGTTGTAGGGTTATGCTTATCAGCATAAACTCAACAGAAGCAGCTTGCTGTAGCTACGTCGATGACACCTACGACACAGCGGGAAGGACGTTCTTATAATTAAGGCCAAATTTACAGTAAAATGCCGAATCAAAGTGTTGTAAACATCTATAAAATAATGGTTATATTATGAATCTTGGTCATCTGAACAGGTTTTGATTGTTAGTGAAGTTTTATTATTTGTTGATCTATTCATTTCTTTTACCTGGCTCATCTCTTTGGACTGCAGGAAGCTGGAGTCAGCTCATCCTGTTCATCCCCAGAAACCACCATAGCACAACATCTTAAACATGATCAGAATGTACAGTAGACAGTAGGATACGTTACACTTCCTGCACATGAGTGTTTTCATATATAAAAGCCAGCATAATAACAACAGGCAGGAGAAGGAATGTCCGCAGCTTGGTGGTCCACTGATTGTAAATTGTCATTGTCTAACATGTAATGGCACTACAAAGCTGACATGAAGCTGAAAAACAACATTCATTTCCCAAGATAGGCCTTAAATTCTCCCCCGCTTCACCTTTCTGCACAGGCTTCCCTCCCTGCTGACATCAGGAAAGAAGCTACAAAACCACTGTAGGCACTGTGACCAGGATGCACTTTTACTACAAAACTAAGCAGCGTTAGAAAAACTCGTCATCCCAGACTGTCTGAGATGAAGGAGAGCAGTCCAGTTTTGTTCATGTGCAATTTTGACAAAGTATTTTGGTCTCTGTGAGGTAAGAGGTGCCACTTCTAGAGGTCACCTCAGTTGAAGCGATCCATGTCTGATCCAATGAGCCAAACGCACAGTAACATCCACCAGGAGAGGGCCCAGTCCGTCTCTCCATTCAGGCTCCATTCAAGGTTCATTAAACACCTCAGCTCCTCACAACAGGTTCTTCACAACTGCTGTCCTCAGTTTTACCTCAAAGGTTCAAAGGTCACCGCTCTGAGGTTCAGGTCTGGTGTCCTGGGTGCGACCGCGGCCCAGTCTGGGGAAGTGGGATGAAGTTCTGGATCGGGGTGTTTTGGCTCCAGCGTCAGTGGCCTGTGGGGTGTCTCTACATGGAAAAGAAGAGCAGGAAAAGTTTATTACTCAAATGCACAGCTAATGAAATTATCCACCTCAAATCTGGTTTGGTGGCCAATCCAATACAAGATGGCTGCCACATCCAACTGACCTTTGAAATAATAAAATGTCAAAGAGCTCAGTGAGTTTTCCAAATACTGAGCTAAAATCTGGTGTAGTCACCATAAGTTATATCTAATACATACTTACTAGTTTCCTTTTAGCATTTTCCTTCAGGGGTCGCCACCATCAATCATCAAGCTCCATCTAACCCTATCCTCTACTCTGCCACCAATAAGCTTCAAGTCTTCTCTCAATGCATAAAAAAAAATCTTCTCTTTGGTCTTCCACTAGGTCTCCTGCCACCCAGAGTTAAAAAACTGATTCAGCTTTAGAAATATTGTGCATCAGCTGATGTTATTAGTGATATTTTAGCATGAAAATAAATTGTCTGGATATCGGCTACAAACTTCGGCAGTACGTTTTGGCTATCGGCTAACCGTGTCTCCCACATATTGGCATCGGTATCGACAATAGAAAAACCAATGATGGTCGACCTCTAATGCCAACAAGAAAATTCCTGAAGAAATTTAAAAGGCCTGTCAGCTGCAGCAGAAGCATGGAGGGCCTCAGCCAATCAGAGCCTGGATTTTCGTGGGAGGTCATAAAAATCATTTCAGTAGCCCTGTTTCCTTTCCCCGAACTTTGGGGTAATTTTATAGGAACTTCCTAAAATGGGCGTTTCTCCGCTTGATCAAGCCGGCCGAACGGTCATTTTCCAGGCCGTTTTCAGGAACTTTCTGAGTACCTGATCAGGGGTAGGAACTCTGAATGGCCCGGACATCGCAACTCAATTTCCCCGTCCCAGAATTTACCCTGAAGTTCTGGTAATGGAAACAAAGGTACTTTTAGACTTACCCTTGCCACGCACTTACTTTGTATCATAGGGACAGGTCCCTAATAAAGACTTTATTTCTCTCTTAAACCAGCAAAAATCTAAAGAATGTCCATCCACATAAAAGGCTGAGCATGGAGAGGTTTCATGCAGGCTTACAAACTACCTGGATAAAATAGTAACTTTCCAATAGAGAAGATAAATATTTGGTCTTCTAAATACTCTTTACACTGCATTAATTACAAATTTATTAGATAACTTCAAACGAAGATTGTTATTTTAGTCACCGAATCACCTGAAACTTTTATATTTTTTTCTTTTGATTTAAAATTTAAGAATTAACCCCATAAACCACGGCAGGAAGGAAGGATTTCCAACAGATGGATTCACATCAACATCAACGAACATCTTATCATGATGTTTTAAGTCTCCTACTTCTCTCTGGGAAGTCATTTTGTCCACTTAGTGACATCATTGCCTCGGTTTCCAAGACAACCATCTTCAGCACGTGTGAACTGCTGATCCCTGAACCTGACAATGATGACAGTGAAGGAGAGGAACTTGTCAAAGGAAGGAAATGAAAGGCAGTGAAATGCTGTTTTGTTGCATCGTGTTGCTCCGTTCTCCTCCTAAACATTTCATCCCAAAGATGGTGGACCTCTCACCTGCTGCTTTGTAAGGATGTTGTAACACTCTAAAAGTAGCTTTCAGGTCAAGAGATTTTACATCAATAGGAAGTCTTCAGTAAATGTTCAACAAACGTGAGGAGGGCATCTGTGTCTTGATGCCTAAGTGGCATCTTTAATGACACACCCCAGCTGATGGAGTAATAATTAAGATTAGCAGGGATATCTGGGCTTTGTAAGTTAGAATTTTTTTCCTTCTTGGATAATGTGTTGCACTTCGTTCACAGGCTGAAGATGTCTGAGCCAGAATTAAGGAATCACAAGTTCTGTTGTTTCAAAGAAAAACCATAAGTAGGGATGTGTGAGGACTGAGTGTCACGGTGAACTTGTTATGGTGAAAGGCTAGCATCAATCCTCTCCTCTGGCCCAAAATCATCACTGTCCAAAGTGCCACATATTCCCTCGCGAGGCTGGTTCAATTACACCCAGCCACATGCACTCACACAGTTTGGATTTGCAAAGGTTGGCCAAACAGAGATGCAACGGGGAGTTATATCAGCAAAAATCCTACTAAATTGAGGGCAGCCTGCAGAGCTGGAACTGTAAGCCACCTCGTTTATTGACATCAAACTGGGTAAATGTGGCAAATTAATTGGGCTTATAGATTCTGGTCCGGCTCTCAGCATGTTTTTGTCCCCTGTTTGGACATTATATTGATTTGTACATGATAACAACTTTCCCAAGCACTGTTGGAATATTAATAATTTGAATGCAGAGGAACCTAATTAGAGTAAACAGCTAGACAAATGCTAGTATGCATCAGAATGACTTCCTAATAGTGAAACATTGTGTAGTAAATGGTGCATTCTTAATAATAATGAACTCACTCCATATTTGTTTGCCGTCACAGAAACACAGGCATAGATCAATTGTTTCTGGCCACCAGGAAAATACTTAATATGTTTAACTTTTATTCTAACTGCTTTTGGCCTTGAGATAAAAATCTACAACTCTTTTTTTCTGATGCATTAGGTAAACAGAGTGAGAGCCCAGGCGGTGAGCTTTGTGCTTTAACAAAGCCATAAAGGTGGAGCAGCATATCAATAAGGGACAAATCTACAACCGTGAAAATTTCTAATTGGTGTGGAAACATGAAATGAAATCTGTGTGCATCAAAGTCTTGATTCTCTCACACAAACACCAGTCTACACTGATGTAGGCTTTCTTTTTGTCACATTGAAGACAAACTAAAACAAGACTGAGCTTCAAGTGCATCCAAGCGTCACAACTGTATGACTCGACTGTGCTAGTTGACCGTCAACAATTCTTGGTTGAGGAATGGGATGTCCTTCCACAGCAGATCAGTAACCGGCATGAGAAGGAGCCAAGTTGTTGAGGCTATAACCCTAACCCACATGCCACTGATGCTCCTGACAGAGTAAAGTCAATAATGTAAAAATGGCCAAATGTGATGTTACTTTGTTCCTCAATACTGTGGAAAAGTGTTAGACAAGATGGCCTCGCTCGGGCTGAGGTCAGGACTCCGGTCAGTCAAAGTCCTTTAAACCAAACTCATCTGCTTCAAACACCAATTCATGGAATTGATGCGGTGTCACACATAATCCTCCCACTGGAAAACATCCAAAGCAAATGTAAAAAAATTAGTTATATAGCAAAGTAAATGTGGCGTTACTTTTACGTAGTATAATGCAGTTACATTTTATCTATCAATTCAAAGATTTTTATAACTGAATAATTCTTACTATCAAGAATCGGAGTAGGATGGAGGGTGCCAGTAAAATCTATATCACTCACTCTGGTTCCTCCATGAAGGAGCCGGCTTCGATCGTAATTAATTACATTACTCCTATTCCTAATAAAAAATGCAGTTGTTGATGCCATTATACTTCAACACCGTTATAGGCTCGACACAATGGAGGCGACATCGCCTCGCCTCCATTCATTTTCAATGAGACATGCGCGGCAAAGCGATAATCGCGGGTCTCCCTCCTACTAAGCAAAATGCGAAAAACGTGCTTGTGACATTTTGCACTCGTGCACGTGTCGTGCTCAGGCGACCCAGCAACACGATCCCAGAAAGTTGAAATATTTTCTACTTTTCATCGCTGTCGCTTGAACGAGGACCAATCAACGGAGGTTTTATTCACTGACCAATGAGCGGACAGGATGCTCCGTACATCTCTGAGCAAACATGGACACTGTTTCTCCTTCTGTGACTGTGTTCATCTTAATGTGAGGTCCAAACCATGTGATAAATTGAGGCATGTCCTGATAGACAGAGAGTAGCCCTCTCCTGGTTTGTAATATGGGACGAACCCATTCTCGGGTTTTTCTTTTTGTATATAGTAAAATCAGAATTAAGATTTCACATAACTCTAGCAGCACCTTGTGAAACATCATATCTACCGCTTTTTAAACTCTGAACCACTTAGATAATCTTAATTCCCTCCAACCTGACACAGCCAATCAAAACAATGGAAGACTCAATTTCGCCATGGAACAGAACGCATTGACGGCTTTGCCGCTGGCCGTGACCGCGGATCGCCTCCCGTGTGTCAGGTAATAAAAGCGAGAGCGACAAATTTAGTTGATTGTGGTCGTTTGTCGCCTCCCGTGTATCGAGCCCATTACTCCTAACACTGGTGATGAGCTACGTTGTAACCACAGCTGCCCTGGGATACACTGGCATGAAGCTACCACACAATCAGCGCTACCAGTCCCTTCAACTACCACCAACAGACAAGAAGGGTGAAGGACACAATGACTGACATGAACAGAGCCTGGGTTCGAACTGGCAACCCACCGATTTCATGGCAAACTCCTACCCCCTGAGCCATTGTCATCTTTTTGATCCTCTAAAGACAACCTATGCTTTTGCTTCCTTGTCCTGTAAAAGCTCAGCATGATCAAAAAGCATGGCTGGTTTTATCACTTTAGAAAAAAGCACTGAGTGAAAGGAGATCAGCAATGAACCTTTCAAGTATTACTTCGGTCTCAGTTGTTATTAGTAAGGGTAAATCCTAATCACCTAACATAAGCAACTGTTGAGTATAGGGGATGGGTACCGAATTTGGTACTTTTTAAGGTACCGACCGAATTCCATAGTACCGACCGAGCACCGATTCACGTCATTTTAAACGGTGCCTCGTTTCGGTACCCGTCCTTCATAACGAGAACTTGCCAAGACAGCTGTGCATGCGCAAGAGCGTTATGTCGTCGCTCGCTGCGAGCCAGTTGTAAACAGAGCAGCATGGTAGAAAGAATGCAAGCTAAAGCTTGGGTCCACTTCACTAAATGTGATGGGTAACTGGGTGATGATGAAACCAGCGACAACGATCTACGTGTGACATCCTCATCTGCTCCAGTAGGTAAATAAAATGTTTAAGATAACGTTAGCTTAATATGTTAGCTTCCGTTTCGCTAATGGTGCGTTCGCTTTCTCCTCGGAAC